GCATTCTCCACCTGACCTCAACATTCTGAACCTGACCATAAATACTCCCGTACCTACCACCCCAGGTAGATCTGTTTGTGACTTGAAAAAGCCCACTGTGTGGGCAAAACGTTGTCAATAAAGGATCACATTAAACTGCATGTGTGTTTATGTTTCCATTGTGTCGGTATTTTATACCATTTATTTTAAAGTGCAGAGCATACTATAATGGTGGAAGGTTTGTGTCAACTATCTTTGATATTGTTTTGTCACCTTTGCACCATTCATAACATTTCTGGTATATTTTTAAATTTTTATACAGCAGTGTACTGCATATTGTAATAAAAAGAATAAAGGAAATCACCTCTAATATACATTATTTAGGTATGCATACGGGTCAGAGAGCATAACCTAAGTCTGAGTTGCCAGTAAATGAGTATTCCAAATGAGCCTGTATTCCATTGTACACAAATGACATCACTTGTCCAGTACGTGTCCAACTGGCCAGTCTAATATGCATTTCGGAATGCACTGACATTATTTATACAATTATTACAATAATGCAGTAGCCTGCATAACAGTAATCTTTTATTTTTTGTGTGTGAATAAAAATTCAAATTGGAAAGCAAGAGTAATATAATAGAGGCGTGGAGACGTGACTAAGGAACAGAGGAAATGGTTTTTAGTGCCAGGAATGTTCACATTGTTTATTCTGGACCCTATTTTTAAATTGGCAATTTTTAAAGTTTGTGTGAAATTAGCCAATCGACAGAACAGAAGGAATATTAGCGAAATAGCTACGAGTTTGGTTGATGGAACAATGGAATTAGCCAAAAATAGGGCGCAAAGTGGGTGAAATCACCAAATGCGTAAATATTGCTAAGACCGCTAACTTTGCAAGAGTGTAATTCCATAGTTTTAGATCAGACTTCATATCTTTGGTTTCATTACCTTCGGGAAAAGATTCTCCATCATTTCATATATTTTTTTTTAACTACTTAAGAACAAGTTTGAGATAAGGGGTCTTGACCCTGAAAGGGTTAATGACCTTCACAATTATGTATAAGAATTAAACAGGACATATTAAAACACTTTCAATGACCTCTGGAAAAATGGGACAAAATCCACCGAGTTTTGATAACTTATATTTAACCCTTTGAGGGCTTCGGACGTACTAGTACGTCTTACGCATAGGGGTTTTTGATGTACTAGTACGCACAAATTCTAGCGCCGTCAAATCTCGCGGGAAAAGACTGGTAGGCCTACATGTGAGAGAATGGGTCTGTGTGGTCGGTGTGCGCGGTAGAAAAAAAATCTGGGACCCAGTGGTGCATTGTGGGAACACCATCTTAGTAAACAATGTCCACCATGCCTCGCAGTAAGAAGCTCCTCACTCCTCGCGAATTGGGACACTTTTGTTCCCCAGTGACAGTTCTAATACAGATGGAAGTGCCAGTGAAGATGAGTTTCAAGGTTTTGGTGAGGTTTTGACCGAAACTAATGACCATAATATCGGTAATAGTGAGGAAAACCCAGACGACCCTCAGCCTTCCACCTCTGGTGCTGGGCCGTCTTGTTCACGTTCAGTTGTACCAGAATCAAAGAGGAAACTCCTATTTTCCCAAATCCCAGACTCAGATGAGAGCATGGGTGATGATAGTGATAGTGAATATGAACTACAAGCTCTTCAAACTAGTTCCAGTAGTGATAGTGAAGTGCAATATTCCCCAGTGAAGCATCAGTATATACGACGATATATGCACTCTGGTAGTGTGCCGTATGCTATTCCAAGGGGAAGGAGTGCATCTCGGAGTACATCCCGTGGCTGTACAACAGGAACATAGAGTGAAAATGACGATGATACTGTTGCAATTGGGATGGAAAATGTGCGTGGTGGTAGTGGTGCCGGCGGTGAGGCACCAGCAGTGGGCCATGCTGCCACCCATGCTGCCACCCACGCCGCTGCCTCAGCTGTTCTACAACAAAGGCCACCATCCCCCACCCACCCACCACACCAGCCTCCACAACCACAACCACCTGTCATTGTCCAGTACCCACCAGCAGACCGCACCTGGGATTGGCAGGAAGCTGTCAATTTTGTTCCAAATGCCCACCAGTTTGATGACAGCCAAAGTGGAATACGGCCATCTTGTACACTTGGGAACAATGCCACTGAACTGGAATGTTTCGAGTTATTCTTCGACGAACCACTGATGGAAAGTATTGTCATGGAAAGCAACACATACTACGAGTACACCATGGCAAACACAATACTTTCACCAAAATCACGTCTACACCAGTGGAAGGAGGCAACTGTGGCTGAGATGTATCTTTTCTTTGCCACAATAATGCTTATGCCACATGTGTATAAGCACAAAGTGAAATCATACTGGTCAACAGACCGCCTGATTGCAACCCCAGGTTTCAGTGATATAATGCCAGTGAATCGATTTGTGCTAATGTTACGTATGCTTCATTTCTCAGACAAAACCAGGCCTGACAGAACTGACAGGTTATGTAAGATTAGGAATGTGTTTGTGTATCTGAAAGAGAAATTCAGTACGCATTTTTATCCCTTCAGGAAGCTTGTAATTGATGAGTCTTTGATTCTGTTCAAAGGAAGACTCTCTTTCAAGCAGTACATACCAAGCAAGAGGAAACGCTTTGGTATAAAGTTGTTTGTGCTTTGTGATTGTTACAGTGGTCTGGTATTGGATATTATTGTGTACACTGGAAGTTATACATTGCAAAATACCAGGAAGTTATTGGGCATCTCAGGTGATGTGGTTAGAACAATGATAGAACCATACCTTGGTAAGGGCATATATTATATACAGATAACTGGTACACAAGCCCCTCACTCAGTGATTTTTTGCGAGTGAACATGACAGATGTGTGTGGCACAGTGCGTGCAAATCGGAAACATATGCCCAGGTTTGACGCTGGCACTCGTAGAGGTGAGGTGCAGGCGTTTGCTGCCAATGACATCATGGCATTTCGGTGGCATGACAAACGAGATGTCACACTGTTGTCATCAGTTCACCCTAATGAAATGGCAGACAGTGCAGGCAGCATAGAGAGAGCAATGAACCCATTCTAAAACCTGCAGCTGTGATTGATTACACCTTCAACATGCGTTCAGTGGACAAATGTGACATGCAGATTGGGTTTGCTGATTGTGTTCGCAAGAGTTATAAGTGGTACATCAAACTGTTTTTCCATCTTCTGGACATTTCCATGCTCAATGCTTATAATATGTATAAGATGAGGACCAGAAACAAACCACAGTACGGCGAATTCTATTCGTCTGTCATCAGACAAATAGTATTCAAGTACAAAGGAAGAACACCTGCAATTGACCGCCCACCAAATTATCAACAACTACCTGCTCGTCTGAAGCATGGTGATCACTTCCTAGTAAAACTGCCTGCTACTGCTTTCAAGAAAAAGGCTCAGAAGAGGTGTTACGTCTGTTCACATACAAAAAAACGCCCACAACAACGCAGAGACACTCGTTTTATGTGTGAGGAGTGTAAAACACCACTGTGCATGACACCATGTTTCAAAGAGTTCCACAGGCTGCACAACTTCTAGAAACATTCCCTGTGACTGTATATGTGTATATAAAATATAGAAAAATAGTAATAAGCAACATTTCATATCGTTTGTTTGTGTAAATATTTTTTGTAAACAAAACAATGATGACAGTGTTTACGCCCTTATTGTGTAGTATTGAAAAAGAAATAATTTACAAAATACTGGTCATGTTGGCCTCAGAGGCCATAAAAGTTACTCAGAAAAAGAAAAATTGAAAAATAATTGAAAATAGTACATAAAAAAGTAAATAGAAAAATACCGGGTGACGGCAGTCGGCGATGTTACCAGATGTTGTTCAATTTTGGCAAACTTCACGCCTCCATATCTCGGTAAGTATTGACGGTAAAAATTTTTTGTTTAGCCTATAATGTTTAGAAAAAAAAAACTATTTTTTCATAAGAAAAAATAATTTTTGTTTTTTTTGAAATTTGGCCGACCCTGAGAACGAGTTTCGGAGAGGGCCTGTCGACCCTCAAAGGGTTAAGGTGTTAATACTTAATGTTAAGTCTGAGGTGTACACTAATGTACACTAATATGTACATTAACAAAGTGATGTATACACCAACATGTAAACTAATATATACATCAAAATGTACTCTAAAGCACACTAACATGTACACCGACACGTAAAAATACACGCACACTACAGCCTCTCCTCACTTAGCGACGTACTCGTTTACCGATGACTCGGACTTACGACAGGCTCTCTGACCAGTATGTCTAAATAATGTATGTTAGAGCTGATTTCCTCTAGTATGTTTATTATAATATACACTACACTACATTCAAAAATATACCAGAAATTTTATAAATGGTGCAAAGGTGATATTAAAACAACATCAAAGATGGTTAACGCAATACACAAATAACCCGCACATTGAAGAGAGGAGCTTACGATAACGTTTCGGTTCAACTTGGATCAAAACGTCGTGGTAAGCTCCTCTCTTCTATGTGCGGGTTATTTGCGTATTGCTCCAGTCACAGTATTGTGCCTTTTTTAGTTATTTATGGTTAACACAAACTCACTACCATTACAGTATGCTCCTCGTTAAATGATGAATTCGTTTACGAACACAGTAGTACAGTGGACCCCGCATAACGATTACCTCCGAATGCGACCAATTATGTAAGTGTATTTATGTAAGTGCGTTTGTACGTGTATGTTTGGGGGTCTGAAATGGACTAATCTACTTCACAATATTCCTTATGGGAACAAATTCGGTCAGTACTGGCACCTGAACATACTTCTGGAGTGAAAAAATATCGTTAACCGGGGGTCCACTGTATTAGGAACGGAAATCCGTCATTAAGTGAGGAGAGACTGTAATGTACACCAACACACACACTGACACGTACACTAATATACACCACGTACACTAATGTACACATAACCACCATGTACACTAACATGCACACGTACACACCTTTACCAACGACTTCAACTCGGTGTCCGTTCCTCAGCGACTTCTCCGACATTGTCAATTACCACTTTAAACCTGAAACATAAAATTTATCCTTTAACTCCACATAACTGACATATAAATTATATAATTCTAAAGCAGAATAATTAATAAAAAATAACAATAATACAAAAAATACCAAAATTAATAATTAAAACTAAATATTAATAATAATAATATGATTATTATTATTATTATTATTATTATTTACTACTAATAATAATTAACAATAATAATAATAATATTTAATAATAATATTTATTAATAATAATAATTAATAATAATATTTAATAATAATATTTATTAATAATAATTAATAATAATAATAATAATAATATTTAATAATAATATTTATTAATAATAATAATAATAATAATAATAATAATCAATAATAATATTGATAACATTTAATAATAATATTTAATAATAATAATTAATAATAATATTTAATAATAATATTTATTAATAATAATTAATAATAATAATAATATTTAATAATAATAGTAATTAATAATAGTAATTATAATCATTCAGGACCACAGGTAGGTAGAATGACTTATAAGTTTGATCCAAGGAAGAGGAGAAAAAGTGCAACTGGAGGTGAGAGAAACATCAGCTGCAATTCCTCGGATCAAAAACCTCTCCCCCTCCCGGGTGGCGCCGACACCCACATCACTTATTTCTCCTTAACTCCGGGTAATTAGGAGCCCTGGGGGGGCGGGCGTGCCCCTGGGGGGGCGGTACCTACTTCCCTGGGCGTCAGGTAGCAGAAAATAGGTGAAAATGGGCGTAAATGAGTTAAATTACCTGATAAATGAAGGAGGTGGAGGACGACGTGAATGAATCAGCTGTCAGCCATTGTTGACACTGATGTTGCCACCCAGACTGCTGCTTAACACGCTAAATGTAGCGAGAGATCCGCTGAATGTAGCGAGGGATGCGCTGAATGTAGCGAGGGATGCGCTGAATGTAGCGAGGGATCCGCTGAATGTAGCAAGGGATGCGCTGAATGTAGCGAGGGATGCGCTGAATGTAGCGAGGGATGCGCTGAATGTAGCGAGGGATCCGCTGAATGTAGCGAGGGATCCGCTGAATGTAGCGAGGGATCCGCTGAATGTAGCGAGGGATCCGCTGAATGTAGCGAGGGATGCGCTGAATGTAGCGAGGGATGCGCTGAATGTAGCGAGGGATGCACTGAATGTAGCGAGGGATGCGCTGAATGTAGCGAGGGATGCGCTGAATGTAGCGAGTAGTGTAAGTAAGTAAGTAAGTTTATTCAGGTATACACAAATACAGTTACATAGAATTATCATACATAGCAGCATGTGTGTAGAGAACCTAGGATAACCCAAAAAAGTCAGACAGAGTGACTTATTTCCATTGGGGTCCTTTACTTATTTCCATTGGGGTGCGCTAAATGTAGCCAGTAATATGCTAAATGTAGCCAGTAACATGCTAAATGTAGCCAGTAACATGCTAAATGTAGCGATTAGTGCACTAAATGTAGCCAGTAACATGCTAAATGTAGATAGTAACATGCTAAATGTAGCCAGTAACATGCTAAATGTAGCGAGTAGTGCACTAAATGTAGCCAGTAACAATGATGGAAAAAAAATCCCCCCCCAGTACCAACAATACCACCAGTCCGATAACATTCTTCTTTGCAAATATACAGGATCTAAAGCCAGCAACAAACAACAAAATACCTTTCATAAACATCAAAATGGTATACAATACCGACAGGTTGTTAGGTAAGACACATATGCAACAGTTAGACAACAGTTAGACAAGCTTTTCAAGTGAGAAGGGTTGGATCTGAGAGGGACATGACCTCTCAGTTGCCTCTCACTACTACTACTACTATTACTACTACCCTGCACCTCTCCTTCCGACAGTATTTAAGTCTCCGCACTGTCGCTTGATCTTCAGATAGTTCCTGACTATGAAACTGAACTTCTCCAGGCCGAGGGACTGACAACCTCAAATTCTACGACTTTAAGGGTGATGGACTGATTACATCGTCTTCACATCTCTACTGTTCCTGCCTACTTTCTGTATTCGACTGAAGAAGCCTACTGTGTAGGCGAAACGTTTCGGAATAAAGTTGTCTAACTGTTGCATATGTGTCTTACCTAACAACCTGTCGGTATTGTATACCATTTTGATGTTTATCTTGTCAGACACTGCAACACGTGGCATCTTGGTACAGAAAACTCCTTGGACAAGCTTTTCAAGTGAGAAGGGTTGGATCTGAGAGGGACATGACCTCTCAGTTGCCTCTCACTACTACTACTACTATTACTACTACCCTGCACCTCTCCTTCCGACAGTATTTAAGTCTCCGCACTGTCGCTTGATCTTCAGATAGTTCCTGACTATGAAACTGAACTTCTCCAGGCCGAGGGACTGACAAATTCTACGACTTTAAGGGTGATGGACTGATTACATCGTCTTCACATCTCTACTGTTCCTGCCTACTTTCTGTATTCGACTGAAGAAGCCTACTGTGTAGGCGAAACGTTTCGGAATAAAGTTGTCTAACTGTTGCATATGTGTCTTACCTAACAACAAAATACCTTTCATCCGTGGACTGCTTGCAGAGGCAAAGGCAATGTTCGCGGCTTTCACTGAGACCCACATAAAGGATCACTTGGACAACGAAATATGGATCCCAGGTTACAACCTATACAGATGTGACAGAGTGAACAGGCAAAAGGGGGGGGTTGGCCTGTACATTGCAGAGTCACTTGTTTGCACAGAACTGCTTAATGCCTCAAATGATGTAGTGGAAGTTTTAGCAGTAAAGGTCGAGAACCAAAACCTAGTCATTGTGGTAGTCTACAAGCCTCCGGATGCAACATCCCAGCAATTCCAGGAACAGCTGTTAAAAATTGACCACTGTCTGGAAAATCTTCCAGCTCCTGCACCCAACATCTTGCTCCTGGGGGATTTCAACTTAAGGCACCTAAAATGGAGGAATATAGCAAATAATATTGTTGCAGTAATAACACCAGGAGGCAGCTCTGATGAAAACTCACACTCACACGAGCTTTTAAATCTCTGCACAAAATTCAATTTAAACAAGCAAATAATAGAGCCTACTAGACTGGAGAATACACTAGACCTCATCTTCACTAACAATGATGATCTGATAAGAAATGTCACCATATCAAAAACAATATACTCAGATCACAACATAATTGAGGTTCAGTCATGTATGCGCGGAGCCCCAGACCGACATAATGAGACTAGTCACGAGGGAGCATTAACCAAATTCAACTTCAATAACAAAAACATAAAGTGGGACCAAGTAAACCAAGTCCTAACCGATATAACCTGGGAAGATATACTAAGCAACACAGACCCCAACTTATGCCTAGAACAGATTAACTTGGTGGCACTCGATGTATGCACAAGGCTTATTCCTCTAAGAAAAAGGAGGAGTAGATGTAAAATAGAAAGAGACAGGCGCTCCCTTTACAGGCGACGTAAAAGAATAACAGAGCGGCTAAAAGAGGTCAATATATCTGAAATGCGCAGGGAGACACTGGTCAGAGAAATAGCAAGCATCGAACTCAAGCTAAAGGAATCTTATAGGAGTCAGGAATCGAGGGAAGAACTAAAAGCCATAAATGAAATCGAAAGAAACCCAAAGTATTTCTTCTCCTATGCCAAATCAAAGTCGAGAACAACGTCCAGTATTGGGCCCCTACTTAAACAAGATGGGTCCTACACAGATGACAGCAAGATGACAACAAAAGAAACCCAACCCACAAGCGACTACATATGCTGCTATTACCAAGCTTCAAGCAGATACTACCAAGATTCTTCAAGCCACACAAGCTGCATCTACCACTTCTTCGCCAGCTCTTGCTGGCGACTCCACCAAGATTCTTTACTGCATCACGTATGCTCATGTGTCATGTGCATAGATATGTAGATATAAATCCATATGTATTCCTGTTTACCCTTTGGGGCCTAGTTCCTAGGCCTTTTGTGTATCCATATGGATATGGGGTGCACAATAAACTAGCCACTTCGGTGGCAAAATCTAAAAAATCTAATCTCATGTGCAGAATGTAGCTGAACCTGGTTCCTTCAACACCACCATCAACGAACTCTTCAAGCTCAACAACATGCCTGGGTTTACATTCCCTGCATCACCATCTTCCACTGAGATCCTAAAAATCTACTGCAAACGTTACCAACATCACCACTGCTCCACCGTTACCACAACCTCCAGTCGACACAGAGATGGACCAAACAGAGACCGCTGAGACGTCGGCAAATCCCACTATTGAAACTTCACCACCACCTGCTTCCACTACCATCGCAACTGACCCATCAGAAACCTCGCCTCGACCAGTCCAGCCGCCAGCCAAGAAAGCTAAAACACTAGAACCTTGGGATGCATCTCTCAGTGCCACTGCCATTGCTACACCAACAGTATAATACCACCGCTTGAATGGTGTATACTTTTACACAACTAACCAGTATGAGGACCAAATCCAAACCCCAGAACTTGCTCAGCGCCTCCAGGACGGAACAGTCACGAGGGAGCATTCACCAAATTCAACTTCAATAACAAAAACATAAAGTGGGACCAAGTAAACCAAGTCCTAACCGATATAAGCTGGGAAGATATACTAAGCAACACAGACCCCAACTTATGCCTAGAACAGATTAACTCGGTGGCACTCGATGTATGCACAAGGCTTATTCCTCTAAGAAAAAGGAGGAGTAGATGTAAAACAGAAAGAGACAGGCGCTCCCTCTACAGGCGACGGAAAAGAATAACAGAACGGCTAAAAGAGGTCAATATATCTGAAATGCGTAGGGAGACACTGGTCAGAGAAATAGCAAGCATCGAACTTAAGCTAAAAGAATCCTTTAGGAGTCAGGAATCGCGGGAAGAACTAAAAGCCATAAATGAAATCGAAAGAAACCCAAAGTATTTCTTCTCCTATGCCAAATCAAAATCGAGAACAACGTCCAGTATTGGGCCCCTACTTAAACAAGATGGGTCCTACACGGATGACAGCAAGGAAATGAGTGAACTACTCAAGTCCCAATATGACTCAGTTTTTAGCAAGCCGCTAACCAGACTGAGAGTTGAAGATCAAAATGAATTTTTTATGAGAGAGCCACAAAATTTGATGAACACAAGCCTATCCGATGTTATCCTGACGCCAAATGACTTCGAACAGGCGATAAATGACATGCCCATGCACTCTGCCCCAGGGCAAGACTCATGGAACTCTGTGTTCATCAAGAACTGCAAGAAGCCCCTATCACGAGCCTTTTCCATCCTATGGAGAGGGAGCATGGACACGGGGGTCGTCCCACAGTTACTAAAAACAACAGACATAGCCCCACTCCACAAAGGGGGCAGTAAAGCAACAGCAAAGAACTACAGACCAATAGCACTAACATCCCATATCATAAAAATCTTTGAAAGGGTCCTAAGAAGCAAGATCACCACCCATCTAGAAACCCATCAGTTACACAACCCAGGGCAACATGGGTTTAGAACAGGTCGCTCTTGTCTGTCTCAACTATTGGATCACTACGACAAGGTCCTAAATGCACTAGAAGACAAAAAGAATGCAGATGTAATATATACAGACTTTGCAAAAGCCTTCGACAAGTGTGACCATGGCGTAATAGCGCACAAAATGCGTGCTAAAGGAATAACAGGAAAAGTCGGTCGATGGATCTATAATTTCCTCACTAACAGAACACAGAGAGTAGTCGTCAACAGAGTAAAGTCCGAGGCAGCTACTGTGAAAAGCTCTGTTCCACAAGGCACAGTACTCGCTCCCATCTTGTTCCTCATCCTCATATCCGACATAGACAAGGATGTCAGCCACAGCACCGTGTCTTCCTTTGCAGATGACACCCGAATCTG